CATAAGACTACCTGAAATCCATAATAAAAAAAAAAACCTTGGATGATATATTTCAAGAAATCTTTAATGAAAATTTCCCAGATACATTAGAACAAAAGGGCATTGTGAAAAATAGGGGAGGAAATCCACCAATCACCTGAAAAAAAAAACCCAAAATGAAAATTCTCAGGAATGACATTGCCACAATTCAGATTCCAAAGAAATGAAAAAATATTAGAAGCATCCAGATAGAAAGAATTCAGATATGGAGAAATCACAATCAAGATTGCATATAGCAGCTAGCACCATAAAGTAGCCGAAAGTATGGTATGAGATATTCAGAAAGTGAAAGATAAAGGTCTGCATCCAAGAGTGATTCACCCAGCAAAATAGAGAGTAATCCTACAAGGAGAAAAAAATGGATCCTCAATGAAAAAGAAAACTTTCAATCATTCCTGATTGTAAAGAAGAAGAAAAAAACTGAAAGCTGAAAAGGAACTCTGAAATGCAAATATCAGGAGAAAAATAAAAAGGCAAATGCAAGTGAACAATTTGATGAACTGTTTACATTCTAATGGAAATGGAGAGGTGTTGAAAGTGTTCTTTCAAAATCGTAATGTCACGGAGGGTCACAGAGGTAGTTACTTGAGATAGAACACCTATAAATAGTTTTGTTATGTTTTGAAAATGCTATAAGAAAAAATAAAGGGGGGAGAGAAAAATACATTGAAGGAAAATGAGAAGGGGACTTATTAACATATGTAATCAGGTTGTACAGGTAAAATTATATATAAACATAGAAGAAGTAGAGAAAGCAAGCGTCACTTGAACTTTACTTTCATTTAAACTAATGAAAAATGATCGGAACATCTACACAGTTTTGTATAGAAATACATTCAAATCAGCAGGGATACTAAGAGGAAAAACAAGAGTATAAGAAAAAGGATAGATTCAGGAGGGGAATAGTCATAAGTAAAATAAACCTTAAGCTTGGGAAGAAGATGAAGAGAAGTTTAAAACAGACACTTAACACTTACTAGCTGTGTGACCCTGGGCAAGTCACTTAACCCCCATTGCCCAACCCCCCCCAAAACAAACTATGAATATGAATGGAATTAACTCACCTATAAAATGGAAGAGGTTAATAAAACCCAACAATTTGTTATATACAGGAAACACACTTGAAACACAAATATTCACATAGTTAAAATAAGGGGTTGGAGCAAAATCTATTATGCCTCAGCCAATTTTTTTTAAAAAAAAGGCAATTGTAGCAATTATGATTTCATTCAAGACAGTAGCAAAAACAGATAACTAAAACTATAAAGAAGCCACATTTTGCTGAAAACTAACAGAAAATAAAATTATCTCAACACTTAACATCCATACACTAAATGACATAGCTCCTGAATAATTAAGGGAAAAACTAAGTTAATTACAAGAAGAAATAGGCAATAAAACCTTAATAGCAGGAGGTGACCTTATTCATTCCTACCAGCCCTATATAAATGTAATAAAAAATAAACAAAGAACATAACCTATGTAGAAATTTAGAAAAATTTAATATGATAGAACTGTGGTGACTATTGCTGCATATGGCATCTTTATAAAATTAATCATAAAAACCTCATGAACAAATGCAGAAAAGCAGATATGTGTGTGTGTATGTATCCTGGATAGACCATAATGAATTAAAATTATGTTAAAGAGTTGCTAAAAAAAAAAAGGATGAAACACAACTGAAACACAATTAAATAACTTAATGCTAAAGAATTTGTGAATCAAAAATAAATCATAGAAACCATAGATAATTTCATTAAAAACAATGACACCAACAAAACAGCATACCAGAATTTTTGGTATAGAGCCATCAGTCCTTGGGGCAAATTTGACATATATATGTTTTTGTGTACAGACATTGAGAGAATTTGTTTTGCTTCATTTTGGTTATTATTCCAAGGAATTTGGTTTTTTTTGTTTGTTTTCAGTGAGGTTGGGGTGAGAAGGAAAGAAAATGAATTTCGGTTCATTAAAAAACATTTTAATAGAAGGTTGTACTACAGCTTTGGAATGTTGCATATACTTTCAGATAAGGTCACTGTATTTTCAGTTTTGCTTAATTATTTTACTTTGTTACAAGAGAGCTGTCACAGAGTACAGGTATTCTATAAAGTAAAAACCAAAAAAAATCAGCAAAAAATTTTTAAAAGAAATTATTTCATATGTAAAAAGACATTAATAATGATAAGGTCATTGAACCAGATTGTCTCTGTTGTAGTATCTTTAAGAGATTTTGTATAATTTTGAAAAGGAGACAACTTGTTGGAAGAATATATAAGATGGTGTTTCACTGTACAAAATCAAATGCTTCTTTATAATCAATAAATATGGTGAAATTTTGTATGTTCCTTAAGAAAAAAAAAATTAGACTACGCATGGATGAACTCATGTACAGTATTTCTGTACTCATGATTTTAGTCTTTTGAGCAGTTTGACCATGCATACATTTAACACCATCAGCAGTCTTAGACATATGTGGCTTTTGTCTGAATGCCAGGTGACCACCCTAAGAATGGCTTTAGAAAAAACTGCTTTTATTTTAGAGTGAACTTCTTACCAAAAGGACAGAGGGGAAGGTGAGGGACAGATGACGAGGAGGATGAACTGTTCAAATTTTAATGGTCCAGCTAATATACTTTTAAAAAATTCAACTATTCACATACAAATAGGAGGAGTAATATATAAGAGTTATTATAAAATTAGAAAAGACAAGATGTACAACTATTTGGATATATGAGGTAAGGAATAGTATCAAATCAAAGAAAATGTTGAAATATAAATTTGAAAGACTGAAAGCCTGGTAGGGAAGTTTGATGAAGTGCTTCTGTTTTGAATATACTGATTTTTAGATATCTCTAAACTATTTTAATAGGCATTTGGTGATACCGTACTGGAGAAAAACTAGGGCTGAAGAGGGGTGTGTGTGGGTGGGTGTGTGTGTGTGTGTGTGTATCTGTGTATATTGTATATGTGTATATGTATATGTAGATATATCTGTAAGTCTTCTGCCTAGATTATAATTATTTAAGTCCATGAGAGTTGATGAGGTCACCAAGAGAGTATAGAGAGAAGAGAGGGACTTGAACTAAACACAGAAATTTCTGGTCCTTCCAACTCTAAATCTTGCAACCACTGGCTGTGTTTTATGTTGATTTAGTCAGAGTATCACAGTACTCAGGACTCAGAGATGGTGTAGTCCAATCCTTCCACCTTGCATGTGAATAAACCAAGACCCAGAGAAAGAAGTGGCTTGTCAGAGATGACACAGGTAGTAAGTAGCAGAGTTAGAACTCAAACCTGCATCTTCTGATCCTGGACATAATGTTCTTTTCACCATATCACACTGCCTCCATTGGTTACTTTGGCAGTGGGATGAAATAAGAGACTTTTACAGTTGTTGTAGTGATGAGACCTAAACTAGGAGGAAAGTTGTAAGGAATATTGTGGAGATAGAATTGATCATATTTGGCAATTATGACTTGGGAGAAGGGAGGGAGTCAGGTTTTGAACCAGAGCTATATATTTAGACTGAAGGTAGTAGTATCACTGGAAATGAAAGAGAATAGGATAACATTTATTGACATGGGCAGTTTACTAGTGCAGAAACGTTAGCCCTTTAAATGGAGCCAAAGAATAAGATAGTATATCATTGTTTTCTATTCATCTTGGAAATATTTGGTCCTTCGGAACACGCCTATACATCCAAAAAATCTGTAAGATTATAATTTCATAGTATTTAAACATAACTGGTGAGTTATCATTGTTAAAGTATCATGTGGGAGGTAGCTATTTTCATCAGTTATAGTACATATACTGTAATTGGAGATTAGTAATTCTTGGTTCCATTGTAGCTTGCTAGTACTTATAACCAAGTTATAATTATATGCTAAGAAATGAATATTTGAATGCTTTTATTTAACAAAGCATTTCTTATAGTGCATGTCTGTTAATTAATTGGTCAGTGTTTTCTAAGTAAATGCAACAATTCGAGATGTTTTAAAAGTTCTCAAGATCCACCGGAGGGACCAAGCTTGTTTTTATGAAGAGTAGGAGGCTTCTATTTGACTGTCTTCCCTATTCAGTGAATATATGCAGACAGATCACATTAAAAGAGTAAGAAGAGTAGTTTCAGTACTTTGTACAGAAACCAAAAGTCGACATGCACATTGAACCAATGTCTCAGGTATAAACCTTATAAGTGCTCTGCAGTGAAGCTAAATTAACATAGCTAGCCTTTCCTCTGATCCAGTTGTCACATATTTGCCATGAGTTGCTACTAATTGTATGAGAAGTATAAGACCAGTTCTAATAGCAACTCTGAAAGGTTGAAATAGTTAAAGAAAAGAATGTGAGTGCACACGTGGGTGTGTGGGTGTGTAGGGAAACATTTTCTAGAGCAGCAGTTCTTAACTTTTTTGTGCTATGGATGCTTTTAGCAGTTTTGTGGAATCTGTGGACTTCTGAAGATAATGTTTTTAAATCCATGAAGTACATAAGATTACAAAAGAAACCAGTCATTGAATTATAGTTGTCAAAATGTTTAGAAAACAGGCTCACAGACCCCTAGGTTAAAAACTCTTGATCTAAGGGAATATCACAAGGTAAATTAAAAGGGTAACATATGAGAAATGGGGACCTAATGAAGTTCATTTTGAAGTAGGAGGGGGAAAAACAAGTAAACAGTAATTTGGTGGCAGTCATGACAATCCATTATGGATATAGGTTAGAGATGTCACAAGCCTTTTTATAAAAGTGGCAAATGAAGAATTATAAAAATCTTGTAGGAAGGGGAATTCTATCCCCAAATATAGAAACACCAGCTGCAGTTTCTCCAGGTGAAAAATCTAATTATTTCTCCAGACTGTGTTTGAAATGGGTCAAATGAGATGGCTGTGTTTGGTTAGATCTATCTGATTATCTGTTTCTAATGGCAGTTTTTCATGTTTGCCTTTCTTTCATAGGCAGAGGATGAATTTACCCTGCATGTATGACCAATGTAAACATATGTTACTTGTGTCCAGTGAATTACAAAGGCTTCAGGTGTCTTATGAAGAATATCTCTGCATGAAAACCTTATTACTTCTCTCTACAGGTAGGCTAGTCACTTATCTGGTGCCAAGTATTTGTTTCATGTGACTGTATTCCATTCAGAGACATTATAGACATCCAGGTGGTAAAATGGATAAGGCATTGGACTTGGAATCAGGAAGTCCTGAATTCAAATCCTGCCTCAGACACTAACTGTGTGATCCTGGGCAAATCACTTAACTTCTATCTGCATCTGTAAAAATACTAATGGTGTTTTGAGGCTCAAATGAGATAGTATTTTAAAGAGCCTTGTAAATACTAAAGCTACGTAAATGCTAGGTGTTCTCATTATGATTTTTGTTACATTAAGTGTCAGCTATATGTGAAACTGCCCATAGAGATAGCCTCATTTGTAATCCTTCATTAGTATATCGTCAGTAATACCTAAGAAGACAATTTTCAGGGTTATATAGAGACTATGCAAATATTAGTTGCATTGGACCTTTAATCACCCAGATAAATATTGAACAAAATAATATACACATCTGATGTGTCTGTGTGATTGGTCTTATTTTTTGGATTTCTGAACTGTCCACGTTCCCTTCTACAAAGGGAAAAGAAGTCTTGAGTCTGCAGCATACCACGTAGATAGAAAAACATTGTAGTCCTAAAGTCAATTCGTTGCTGCATCTATTACATAAGATCAAGAACAGAGGGCAACAGGAAGACTGGGGAGGGAAGACTCCTCCCACGTCATATTTATACACACACACACACACACACACACACACACACACACACACACACACACTCACTCAGCTCCATGTTAATGCAGTTGAGCTGAATTCCCAGAATTGCTATAAAGAAGCCTCAGCTCTTCTTGCCAACCCTAAGCAAGATACTGTGAAGCAACGAACCTCTGAGGCAGTCAAAACAAATAAGGCACCTTTTCCCTCTCAGAACGCCAAGGCTTCTTTGATACCAGAGAACCTGAATAGACGTATTTCAGTGTATATGTGACTACACAAAGCACTGGCTTTTCTATGTCTTGCTACCAACATATAACAAGTTATAGGCTGTATAACCTAGGGCACCCAATTTTCCTCTCTGACAGTCATTTACTCCTCCATTTCTCATGAACAACCCCAGAGAAGGTTTGAGGATGTCTTGCACAGGAATACTACCTAATCCAGGGGTAAGGAACTTGTGGTCTTCTAGGTCCCTCGGTACAGTGTTTTGACTAAGTCCAAGTTTTACAGAACAGATTTTTTTTTTTACATAACAAATCCTTTTATTATAAAGGGGATTTGTTCTATGAAGTTTGGATTCGGTCTAAGGGCTACACTTGAAGACTTAGAAGGCCACATGTGGCTTGAGACCACAGATTCCCCACCCCAACCCATCAAAACGAGAATTTCCACAAGTGATCTGCATGGCCCAGTGGAAATGTTTGCCAGAACACAGCAACCAATCCTCACATTCTCTTTGTCCAAATTAAAACGAAGGGCTTTCCAGAAAACTCATTTAATAATATATAGTTATATAATAATATATGCCAGCAGTAACATTTATCAGCCACACCAGAGAATAAGGCAGAAATCTAGTTTTAAAGCCACAAAAATATAAACGAAACATCCTGTTTAGTAGATATTTTTTTACCATGTTCTAAGTGCAGACTACTAAAGATTTTTTTTCAGATACCTGCAAGGAGTTAACCTCAGAGTGTACCTAGACTTAATAGTCTCTCTAGTATGATGAGATTATTTTCAAGGTATATATTGCAGCATCCCTTCAATGCAAATTTCAGTATAGATTAGGAAATCTCTTGTAAAATAAATAATTGAGGGAAAATAACAATTCCATTCAACTTATTTCTTACCAGTGTATAAGACACAGCCCAGCACTATGAAAACACAAAAGTTTAGACAAAACAATCTTTGCCCTCATAGAGTAAGTACATTAGGGAGAAGACACACAAAGAGGTGTGATACTATCCATTGCAAAGAAAGAACCTTGGATTTGGACTTAGAAGACCTGGGCTAAGTCCCAAGTCCACTATTCCCTCACTCTGTGACCTCCAGCAAGCCAGTTACCTGGAAATTGGGTAGAACATTTATATTGCCTATGTCACAGAGCCAATATGAAGATCTCTACCAGAATTAGGATCCAGAGCATTTGCTGAGTCATGCAGTACAGTCCTTTATAAAATGTGAGCTATTATCACTTAAGATCTGCTACACTGAGATGAGACAGGCTAAAAATAAGGTGAGCTTTAGCATTCCTTATTCTCAAAGACACCATCAATTTCATTTTACATCAGGATACGTCATCTCACTTGGCACCCATTTTAGTCTATGTAGGAGCTAGGTCCAACTGATTGTATTTGGCCAGAAGGGGAGGAGACAAAAAAGTATAGGAATGCACTACAAGCATTAGCTAAAGGTACAGCAGTCTTATGATCCTCATTTCAAGAAAAGACCATATACATGTAACAAGCCATCGCAAAAGGATTTGTCTTCTCTTATCTCCAGTGCTGGCTGGCAGATAGTTACCCTGGGTCTACTGACTGGAAAGTGGAAAGCAGCTTCTACTCCACCATGACACCGATAACACCAACCCACAGGAAAAATACTGTTTGTACTGGTTTGATTTGTAAATAGAATTCATAGCCACATAGTGACATAACTTATGCCTCCTCAACAGAGACTATATTCTTTTTCTCACAAGAAGATAGGAACTTCAGGAGTCCAAGCCACTAAGCATCCATGATCTATCTTAGGCTATGTTTATTTTACTGAGTCACATCATTGAACATGGCCATTTCAGCACTATTTCCAAATATTCCTCTTCTGTTCTGTCTTCAGTGAGCCAAACCTGCTACCCACAGGCTTCAAGGCAGTTGTTTCTGATTTCATTTTCTCTCCTCACAACATAGATTTTGAGGATGCTTCTCACTTCTGTTGGGTATCAGAGTTCTGTCATATAGTTAGCTTCCAAGGTGGTTTCATAGACCTTCCCAAATGGCTCTATCTTAACAAAAGCATGTGCCAGTACTGTATAGGACAGTCTTGACTTGTTGCAAACATCATACTTATGGTCAGGGTAGAAATGTTGTTCTGGAGTATTTCACTCTCCAGCCATCACACCACCATGTGAAAGAATTTATAATACATCCGAATCCCCACCATCAAAAGTCAACTTCCTTTTTTTTCCCCCCCTTTTTCAGTTCCCAAGGAAGGTTTGAAGAGCCAGTCACTCTTTGATGAGATTAGAATGACTTACATCAAAGAGCTGGGGAAAGCCATAGTCAAGAGGGAAGGAAACTCAAGTCAGAACTGGCAGCGATTTTATCAGCTCACTAAACTTCTGGACTCCATGCATGAGGTGAGTTTCTCAAATTTCAGTCATCACACTGTTTAGGGGTATTAGGTCTTGCTTTTTGAAACCCATCTATTTAGAATGGTCGATATACTGGAAGTGGCATAAACTACCAGGTAACACCAGGAATGTCATGAAGCAAAAGCAAGAGATGAACTCCCAACTCAGGCCACCCATTTCATTTCAGCACATATTAAGCTCCTACTGTGTGCACATCACCAGCAACAAAATGACAAACACAAACGCATCCTTGTCCTCAAGAGTTGACATTCTTCTGGAAGGGATACAACATGTATACAAGTAGCTGTTTGGTTTTTTTTTTTTTAAAGAGTTACCAAATAAAATACAGGATTTGAGGCAGGAGGGAGCACCAGAAACTAGGGGGGATCAGGGGAGACTTTGTCGAATAGGTGATATTTGAGCTGAGGTATGAAGGAAGAAAAGTATTCTGAGAGGAGGTGAATGAGGAAGGACATTCAATGGAGGCCAATTTGTGCACATGCCCCAAGGTGGGAAGTAGAATACTAGGTTCAAGAAACAACCGGTAGTCCCATTTGGCTGAGATGTAATAACGTTCATGATGGGGAGTCATTTGAAATGAGTCAACAACCATTATTCCTGCAGAAGTGGAAACAGCTGGCACTATGTTTTCCATTCTAGTATTCTGTAGACTCTCCTGTCCACTGGCAGTCCATCCGGCTGAATGCTCTAAGACAACTTGGAATATACCATGTGTAACTGTTTGCTAAGTTCTTCCACTTTTCCCCTTTGGGGAGTCAGGGCAGGGCTGTAATGAACAAGGAATAAGGATTGTTGCTTGCAGCTACATTACAGCCTATCCTTTGGACATCGTTTTTACCTGGCTCATTCTCTTTTCCTTTTAGATAGTTGAAAGCCTTCTGAACTATTGCTTCCAGACATTTTTGGATAAGACCATGAGCATCGAGTTCCCAGAGATGTTGGCTGAAATTATCAGCAATCAGATACCAAAATACTCAAATGGAAATATCAAAAAATTGCTCTTTCATCAGAAATGACTGCCTTAATACAAGAGGTTGCCTTAAAGAAAAGTCAGATTTATCGCTTTCATCATACAGACTTACAGACTGGTTCACTTCTGTCCTCGTGGCGGCGTTTCTTCTGCAATTATGCACTACATGTGGTTTCTAGAGGGCCAAGGCTTGGACATGAACACAGTTGCTTTGAAGCAACAGGAGCAGTAGGGAGAAAGGAAGTGACATAAGTCATTTTGTACATCCTGGAAATCAGACATGTCATCCTGGGAAAGAACTTCTCAGTGGATAGAAAATGGCACCCCAACTCCTGCTGCCAGGAATCTGCATCATGAACATTCTACTAGTGATTTTCCACAGTTGGTTGGATAAGTGTTTTCTAGGACTTTTTTTGGTCATGTTTTTCTTTTTTTTTTTTTCTCTTCCCTTCTCCGCCTGTATAGTTAAGATAGCCTTTTGATTTATGCATGGTAACCCGAAAAAGTTTACAAATGTATGCCAGAAAAGGGAAGTTGTGCCTTTTATAGCTATAACTGTCTGGTTTTAGCAGTTTCCTTTACCTTTATATCCAGTGAACTAGGCCTGCCCATTTTTCTTACATCATTTTTGTATTCGAGTTGCCTGTTGTACAGCTGTCTGTTTCAGGTGGGCATCCGGTTCACAGCTTTCCTAAATAAACGCTAACCATTGTTCTTCTGTGTGAAAATGGGTTGGTGCTTCTACCCCGAGAGTTTTTTGCTCTCAGGAGATCACAAACAGAATTTTCTCAGACCTCAAGGGTCTTTACCAATTATCACCATAATGTTTTATAAGGGATATCTACACATCTGCATAGCAAATAGACACAGTCCCACCCGGTAACTAACTGGTACATGTCACCCAGTCTGGTGGTCTGCTCGATAAGCTATGGTAACTAGAGAATAACTTCTAGAAATGGTCTAATCACACAGTTAGGGCAGAGTGAAAAACAAGGAGCAAGATTCTGAATGCTTTCATGGGTTCTAATTCCTGCCAGCTGTGACATTCTTCAGGCCTCCCTCCTCATCAAGGCTTTGTAGAATAAGAGTCCACAGAAAGATGGCAAGGAAGTAAGCATTAAATCTCATTTGGGGACCCCTTTCTAAAAGAATATTGACCTTCACAGTTTTAGAACAACCCAGAGAAGTTTTTCAGTCATACCTGGAGATTTTGTGTCTGTTCTTAAAACCAGTACTGCCCCTTCCTAAATTTTACTCAAATAAGAAGCCAACCTTATCTGGTTTTTAAAGGTTCAATTTACTAAACCACAGAAATCAAACCAAGAAAATGAACTGGCCCAACACCCATTTTCACATTCCCATCTCGCACCAATCAGTTCCTGTCCCCTGGGGCACAGGAGATGCTCAGCTATGGATTTCTGTGATTTCCGGTCGTGTTGTCAGACTTTTGTGTTTGTGAGGCTTACACGTCCCTTCCTCTCCACTTTCTCATGTGCCATAAACTTGACAGGGGTCTTGTGAATCTCTCCTCCTCACTATGGGTGATCATTTTAGAAGATTTAGAAGCTGTAGTAGCCCTTTCTGTGTGCACCTTAGCGACTTTCTGTAAGCTCAAAACTTAACCTATTTACTGAGCCACAACAAGAATTGATTTTTATTCAGTGGCCAAATTATTTGTGTAATAGAAACTGAAAAAAAAATCTAATATTAAAAATATGAAACTTCTAATATATTTTTATATTTAGTTCTACTTTCAGATATACATATATATAAATATATATCATATTGGTATTCACTAATCCAGGAAAGGAAGGGCTACTGCAGCTTTACATGCAATTTATTCAAGTGATTGTAAAATAGCTTGTATAGTGTATAATAAGAATGAATTTTTAGATGACAGATTGTTTTATCATGACACGTTCTATATTTTTCATAGGGTTCAGAGAAATGCAGAAGGGTAATCTAAATGATTTGTAGTTTGTATGTGAGTGTTCATATAGTTGGCACAGGTCCCCAGAAAGTTGTCCATAGATGAGAAGAGAGGGACTGAGGAGGGAATCCTACATGTGGTCATTTTGCCAAGGCCACATCCCATCAAATTGTGAACAGCGTCATCCCATTACCTGAGATTCCAATCACCTTTCTTGTTCAGACAGTGAGTCTGTTGTCCCTACAGGCTGCTTTGACCTCCTGCTGGAAAAAAAAAATGAAAAGGAATGAAGAAAGAAAAAGACAGACAGACAAAGCAGGGGGGTAAAGAGGTGGCTCTTAGATATGTATGGGCACTGGCCAATAGCGGGGTTACTTTCACATACAGCCTCTCATCCAGCTTAGCAAAAACAGTGACTTAAGGAGCTTGGCAATAATAATGCATACAGGTACCAGCAATATGTATATATACTGCAAAACATCACAGGTCATTCATAATACACTAATTCTTTTCTATCCTATATCAAAGCTTTACTTCCCATTAAAGTGAGGGGGTAAGACTTTTCTTGGATTGCTTTTTGAATGCTACAAGCTTCAGTATTTGATATGCCTTTGCTTTTATTTTTTTTTAAATGGAGTAATTAATCACCTGCTTTTTTTTTTTCAAATGCAAAATAAAAGGGAATGCTTCTTTCCTAATGGCCAGGTTCCAAGTGTTACTGTAAGATGTTTTTCACCTAGCTGGAGGGGAAGTTTTACAGTGCCTCAGAAATAATGTTTTAAGATTCACAATAGTTAGGTTTCAAAATCTGTTCCAGGAAAAGAAATCTCTGCTCAAAGAAAGTTGGTCAACACCAGCTTGCTCCCAAGTTTAAGAAATATCCCATACTGATGGTCTGCTGAGGGAAGGCCCTACTGACAGTTGTGAGATTGCCATGAAGCCATTCACTGGGGAAAGAATGGCACCCACCCTTTTGGGATGAGTATACATGCAGGTGGAATACAATTTTAACTAGGTCAGTATGCTTGGGCTGCAATTGTGGGATCTCGGACAAAAGTTAGACCAGGTGCTACTTGCAGGCAGCCTTCTTTCTCCCACTTGTACTTAACCATTCACACCTATTTTAGTTGTTATTCACTTTAGTGTGAGTTGCAAGGCATGTGTATCCCATATAGAACCACCATGAAAGTACTTCCAGTTATAGCTCAAAAATGTGACCCTTCTTTGTTGACTTTATGATATGATATGGGGTACCACCACATGGGACAGACTGAGGTGATTGGGCAATATGGACACAAAATTGTAAGGCTTCCTGGGATATGCTGTTCTCCTTCCATCTTAGCAGGAGAAGGGGAAAGGTAGTCAGCTATGAACCAGTCTCCTCTCATACAAAAGTAAATTTTTTTGCCCGTGCAGCATTTTATCACCTCTCCTTGGGCGAAGCCCAAAAGAAACCCCTGTCCAAAGAGAGGAAAAGAGCAGGCAATTGGTTTGTGGCAATGGAATTATCATGGAATGAGATTCAGAAATGACTTCTACCCTTGCTTTAAAAGACCCCTTTCACTTCCACAGAGACAGTGCTCTGCTGTCCCAAATCCACAGTCTTAACATGCCTTCTGAAAGACTTGTCTTGATACTCCATAGATGGTAAACACTAGCATCAGTGGGTCCCTTCGCTTTGATAAAGGGATGTGATCTTGAGTCACACAAAAAGGCCACCGATCATGTGTTTCATCATTCCAGCACAGGGACAGGGGAGGGGAGGGAGAGAATACAAGAAGAATGAGTTTAAACAGTATTTTAAATGGCACAACTGTCATCCAAAACCAGTCATGTATTCCAGGTCTTGGTACATCAGTGGCTATCGATGTGCTGAGACAAGAACCTCATTTTTAGGAAAGGAATAGTCTCTTTCAAAGAAGGATTTTGCTTTCTGATGAAAGGCTGTGTGTATGAAAATAGCCCCCTTAGATATTTTACCTTGCTTAACTACATATAGATTTAAGTGTGTCGATATTCTATTTTGTATATTAAACAAAAGCTTATGTAATGGGGACAGATCTATATTATACTGTGTATGGCATTATTAAAAAGCTTTTTCATTATTTTTTATCACAGTAATTTTAAAATGTGTAAAATAATTAAAACCAGTGACTCCTGTTTAAAAAAATATATAAAAGTTGTAGTTTTTTATCCATGCTGAATAATTCTATAGTAAAGAAAGAATAATTCTGTAGTAAAACGTGTCTTTTTCACCCACTCAGTGCAATGGTGGATTGTAAAATCTCGTGTGGCAATGTTTAACTTTGACTTTTTGTTTTAATTCGCCGTCCCAGTAATATCACCGCACACGTTTGTACAGAATTGGCAGTAAATGGTAGTCATTTACAGCTATGCCAAATCATGGCCAGAAATCATAATAAAAACTTGCTTTTTCCATCAAGTGACTCCACAGTGCTTTTTGGTAGCGCTTCAGGTAGATACCTGTACATCCATCTGCTTTCCTATTTCCCAGTATAGGAGGAATCATCCAGGAGGTTTCCTTTTCTTGCCTTCCCTTTCACAACCACCTCCTTGACTTTATTCTCTTTGGAAGGTGGTAACCCTAGAAGTTAAAATCAAAGGGAAAAAGAACAGATTCTTAAAAAAAAAAACATTCCAAACACATACACTTTTGAGCTCTAGGGCTAGAAAATGAACTTAGTGGTGATGAGGCCTGGCTGCCCAACAGTCCTTCAGCCAATCCCACGTTAACAAATGATAACAGAAACTCTAAGCCACAACAGACATTTATCCCATATCTTTGTAAATCTTACCACATCCAATTTGCTCCTTTATAGAGGACAGAGACTATTTTAGATGATGTCAAGGTTCTGGTTCATGTCATTGAAGTTAAAAACTTCAGCCAACAAGTTGGCTAATCTAAATACCTTTCTCCATCTTTAGCATTAATTTCCTTCAGATTATTTCAGCAGCCAGTCACCTCACCCCAGGAGTCAGGTTTGACTTTAAGCACCCTTCTTCAAAGGATCTTAGGAAAACCATCACTACAAAAGCATTATCTGAGCTGTCTTGAACCAACCCCATGCCAAGTTACAGAGATAACCTGGCTTTATGCATTACCTGCCATTGAATAGTTCTTTGGTTTGGGGGTTTGTTTTTTTTTTAAGTTCATATCACCATTGGTTTTGGTAAGAAGCACAACTGTGCTGTTTATTTTACCCCAACATTCATATACAGCTTATTGAGAAATGAATATTAAACAGCGTTGATTGGTATGTACTTTATGGGCCATGCTAACTGTCCCGGATTCATTACTAGTAGCGAGCCAATAAATAATCTTATTAATAGATCCAGTCAGATTTCAGTGTACATCAAAGCATATTGCTTTCATTGCCTTGGGGCTTTAACATTTCTTACTGGGACTCCACAGAAACTAGACACTCTTCAACCTAGTCAGATAATCTTGTCAGCCACCTAGGATGAGATAAAAGAACAGTACATAGAGTTTTAATATAATTTTAATAATAATAATAAAATAATAACAGCCAATATTTATATAGTACTTTAAGTTTTACAAAGTGCTTTACCAGTAGTATGCTGGTAAGTGTTTAACAATTGGATCTCCAAAAGAAAAAAAATGTGTGTATAATTTCTATATGTGTATCTATAGAAATTTTATATATTATATATAAATATGTGTGTATGTGTATATATATATATTTATATATTTATATATACCCATCACACACTCTTAAATTTAATCTGCATTATTAACATTTTCTCCATCATTTTCTTAACCAGGTGGGGAGCCTGCAGCCTTGAGGCTACATGTAGCCCTCTAGGTCACACCTGCACAACTTGGAAGTAGATAGGGGCCAAAATTAAAATAGGCTAAACTTCTTCAGGCCACAGATAGGTTAAACTAGAGACAGACTGATGATGGTTGGTTGCTGTGGGTCACATGACAAACAGGAGAGCATGCAGTGGCAACCCTTGTTTTTCACAGGCTGCCCAAAATCCTTTGGTGGACCGCAAGCGGCCAATGGGCCATATGTTGTGCAGGACTGCCCTAGGTCCTCAAGTGCGCCCTTTGACAGAATCCAAGGTTGTAGTCAGTGAAACTATAAATCAGGGTGTGATTAACAATCCTCTCTCAGGTCTTCCTACCCCCACGTTCAGCACCCTATCCATCATGCCACCTAGCTTCCTAAGACGTGTCCATTCGGCCAGCCAGAATAGCTTTCTTTAAAGAACAATCAGTTGGCCACCAACTTCCCGTGTATTCTAAACCTTGTTTGCTTTGCTGTTGCTCAGTCACATCTGATTCTTTGTGAGCCCATTTGGAGTTATCTTGGCAAAGATGCTGGAATGGTTTGCCAGTTCCTTCTCCAGTGGATTTAAGGCAGAGGTTAAATGACTTGCCCAGGGTCACACAGCTAATAAGTGTCGGAGGCCAAATTTGAACTCAGGTCTTCCAGATTCCAGGCTCAGTACTCTATCCACTGAGCTGAGATCTCCAATCTCTTTTAGATGGCATTGTTTCTAGCTTCTTTCTAGCACCTATACTGAGCTAAAACTATTCTACATTATATTTTCTTTGAAGAAACAATTGCATGTTCCCTATGTTTCACATGTAGCTGATGATTTCTATTGAAATGAACCTGGCTTCCTAAGTTATTGCAGGCCCTCTAGATGCAGACATCTGGAGCTCAGGCCATGTTGACCAAAGTCAGAGTCTGCAGGGCTACTTCTTAGTGCACCTATTTGTCAAGTACACCCCAGAGTTTGACAGCAACTCTGCCCCACAGGTGTTCTGAAAGACAGAAACAGGTGCAAATAGGGGAGTCTGAATAACCAAATGTGTTCAACTGTTGGGGAAAACTCTGCCATTCCTTCCAGCTCTCCTGGGATGGGGAGGAGAAGACAGTGGACATGAAGAAAGTCTTTTTATATTTGATTAGCCCTATTCAAATAAAACTCACTTAGGGTTATCCCAGATTGTTAGAACTCTTGGTTTCCAGAGCTTCTTAAACTGTGGGTTGCAACCCCGTAATTTGGCAGCAGTAAAAGGTTTCTGAACTCACAACGACCAAACATTAATTCAAAATCACAAGTGTGATGAATGGGAGGTGTTTCTGGCAGCACTTGCCTGTATTGCATCGCACAACTTCACTGCAGCCGTGGTTCTGAACACAAACCATGCACGCTTTGTACTGTGCGTGCCCTCAGGCCACGTGACATCAAAGAACTGCTGAAACTGAAAAGGTGTCGTGCGTGGAAAAAGTTTAAGAAGCCCTGCTTTAAACTATAACCATGAGAAGATACAAACTCCATCCAGGTGGGAATCAGCTCATAATCTCTGGCTTTACCTCAAGGCAAGCTGGTTAAAAGGTCAGCTAGGTGGCGCAGTCCATAGAGTGCCAGGCCTGGAGTCAGGAAGACCTAAATTCAGTCCAGCTTCAGACTTACTAGCTGTGTGACCCTGGGCAAGTCACTTAACCTCTGTTTGCCTTAATGCGCTGGAGAAGGAAATGGCAAACCACTCCTGCATCCTTGCCAAGAAAACTCCATGGACAGTGCTGGAGTGCTATGGTCCACCGGGGCTCGAAGAGTCAGACCTGATTGAACAACAAAAACAAAGATTCACACTTGTACTTTGGACTTTAGACAGGAAAAGCAAAGTCAACTTCATTTTGCCCTCAAAGCATAGTGCACACGTGTAATGCACATGACGAATACCTTAAACCCCTGGGTAGGATGACAGATTAGCTGTTTTATGTAACTATCTACCCTTTGGTATCCCTTAGGTACTTCATATGATTGAGCTCTGGAATGAGCCACTTGGGGACATTGGATATTCTTGGAGAAAGGCCATTTCTATACCCACTGTTAATAGTATAAGGAAATAGTTAATAGTATAAGGAAAGCTGCAGTTTTGTTTTGTTTTAATTTTAATTAATTGATCAATGTGTTTTATAGACATTTTTCATTTCTTTTCCTTATAAAGGAGAAACCAGACCGACATGGACCATGCCATAGCCACTAAGGACGGCCTCCCCCATGACAATACCCCCAGATGGTTGTAACCAAGGCACCCATCCATAGACAAGTGTAATTTCTTTTCATCATACTTCCCAAAATATACAGTTGTAGTAATATGATCTAGAATAATAAGTTAGCCAAGTAGAAGTTGGCCTTGATCTCTGATTAGGCCAACAACTCAGAATCGTTTGTGTATTTATTGAACTGAAGCAGGTGTGCAGCTCAAGTCTTAACGTTTTGGAATGGCCTTTAGGAGAGCATCTAGTCCAACCAGAGGGAAAAGCACCATGCCCAAGGCCAGACAACCACTATGTGTCAGGAACTAGGTGGGTATATTTGTAACCTAACCCCTTACTCTTATATATACTTTTTGCTTGGAAATGTATTTCAACAAACATTTATTATCTATTGCATGTTAGGCACTGAGAATAAAAAGACAAGAAAAAAATTGTCCCTTCCCTCAAGAAGCTTTTACACTACTGTGCAAATCTTCTTATAAGTAACAGCAAGGCAATTTCCGCTCTTCTTTTTCATGAATTGCTGGTGTATTTCAAACTTGGGGTGACTCAATAAATGAACATTTATCCTATCCTGAAACAGAAAAACAAAAATGTTCCAGTTTATTTCCATAGCCTGAAGGCAAATCCTGATATATGGCCAATTGTGGCCAATGAGCAATTATTCCCAAAGACTTGGAGCAGCCAGGTGGCAAGGTGAATAGAGCACAGGCCTGGAGTCAGGAAGACTCATGCTCCTGAGTTCAAATCTTGGCTCAAACACTTACTAGCTGTGTGACCCTGGGCAAGTCAGTTAACCCTGTTTACCTCAGTTCCTTCATCTGCAAAATGAGTTGGAGAAGGAAATACAAGTTACTCTGGTATCTTTACCACGTTAGCCCCAAATTGGGTCACAGAGAGTCAGATGCAACTGAAAAAATGGCTGAATTACAAGAACCCAAAGACTCCTTTGGTCACAAGCTAGTCACCAGACCCATGAAGAACTTGAAATTTCCTAAGCCTCAGGAATAAAAGTGAAGGAATAGAATCACTAGGCCTACAGTTTAGAGCAGCTAGGTGGCATTGTGGATAGAGGGTTGGGCTAAGAGTCAGGAAGACCTGAGTTCAAGTCCAACCTAAGACATTTGCAAGCTATATGACCCTGGGCAAATCACATACCCTGTGTTTGCCTCAGTTTCCTTTTCTATAAAATAGGGATAATAATAATAACACCTACCTCCCAGGGTTGTAAGAATCAAATGACATAATAATTGTAAAGTATTCAGCACCATGCTGGACACATGTAGTAAGTTCTGTTAGCTATTACTGTCATTACGATTTACATCCCACACATAGGGGTGGATAGCAGCTGGCCAATCATAGTGAAGGTAGAACTAAAATT